ATTATGATGATTATTCTAGTTGTTATTATTATTGTTGTTGCTATTGATGTTGTTGTTTTTGTTTTTCGTATTATATATTATTATTTTTCTATACGTGCGCGGCTTTTGAGTTGATTGCGTTGCCGGTTGAGGGCGGTGGTCTGAAATTTTATGTGCGTTTATATATAGAAAAAAATCATAAAAAAAAATGAATAAATAAAAATTATATATATATATATATATATATATATATATATATATATAAAAAAAAAAAAAAACAACAAAAAAAAAAAAAAAATAAAAAAAAATATTTTTTGAAAAATAAAAATCATTCTAAATACTCTTATTATATGTAAAGAAAGAAAACTAGAGACTTTGGTTTTACGAAAAAAAAATGTTTAAACAAAAGGTGTATGTTTAAGTGAACAAAACGAAGAACAAAAAGTGTTCCATTATAAATGTTAAATGTTTTTTTTATAGTTTTTTTTCATTTCGGAAAGTTTTTTTTATTTATTTTCTTTTTTTCCTTTCTTAATTTTTGCTATTAGAAACTTCGATTAGATTTCATACGCATCCAGCACGGTCGAGCAAGAATGTATCCCAATTTTTTTCCCTTTTTTTACGTTCTTCTCTGTTATACTCAAAATATATTCTTACACATACTCGGAACATTTCTATACTCATACATTTTTATACGTTTATGTACTACTTACTTGTTTTTATGTATTATAAATACTGATGCGGTTTTTTTTTTTTAAATTTTTTTTTTCTTTTTTCTTTAGATACATCTGCTTCTGCTTCTTTCCTCCTAATTCATTTTATGTGTTAATGCATGAGTTTCTTGCATGTGTATGCGTGTGTGCGCGCCTATGCATGTGTGTGTGTGTACATTATAGAGAAATCTATTCCATGATACGAAGGCACTTTCAATGTCATCAAAAGGGGCTGTTGTATGATATTTTTGCATTCATTAAGTATCACAGCCAGCTTTGATGAGCATTGCAAAAATACCGTTTAACCAACAATTGTGTACCCTTGTACGTGAAATTTGTATATAAAATGTTGCTTTTAAAATAATAACATGAGAAAATATAAAAAATAAATAAATAAATAATAGAAGAAAAATAAAATCTAGTAAGGAATTTATTTCAAGCAAAAGTGATTTTTCGCATTAATATGCTAGAGAAACTCTTTAAAATGCAATTATTCGTCCTAAAAGTATGCTACTTAAACGATAGTAGTAACAGCAAATGCAGGTGCATGTAATTGTGTATGTGAAAAGTATAAAAAAGAAAAAGAACGGTGTGTAACTACAATACAATACAATGCTGCCTCCGTGATGATAATAATGATGATATTGTTGCTGCCGCTCTTGTTGTTGTTGTTGTTGTTGTTGTTATTATTATTAATGCCAACAGTGGTAGTGCTGTTGATATCAGTGTATTAGTGACGATGGCGAAAGAGATGATGATGTGATTGTGTTTGTTGTATTACTTCCGGTGAGATTCAAACAAGTTGTTAGTGTACGTTTGTAAATGCTGTATACGGACGGTTGCCTGACTGGCTGGCTGCCCGATAAACTGCCTGGCTGGCTTTTTCGGCTGTGTTGATTGTGTGCGGCTGGTAAAAAGTCAACATTTTATTACTTATACATACGCAATAACATACTCTAACCCTAATCGGTCCTACACTTTACAACGGTTAATATATTTATGAAACACATGTACATACATGCAAAAGTGTGCGCGTTCAAGTACATTTTTTTTTTTTTTAATATATATATATAAAAAAAAAATCCCTTTCTTTATCTTTAAATCAATTCATTTTCATGCAAATGAGAAAATTTATTTAACCAAAAAAAAAAAAAAAAAAAACTTTGATAAATACTTGAACTTTTATGAAGAAGACAAAGTCTTGGCTTTGTGATTATTAAAAAATTCTTGCGTAACTCTTCAAGATGTTGTGAAATGTCGCTTTGGAATTACTCAATTCATATCACAGCCATTTTGATGAGTTATATAGGAATTACTTGAAACGCATCTCAACAACGTATACAAGTGTTTATGTGTCTCTACAAAAAAAAAAAAAAAGAATGCGTGTTCACGCGTATGTGTCTTGATATTGAAATTCTATAGAGAAAGTGTCCGTGCGTTCTTACATACGTGCCTATGAGTGTGTGTATGTGTGTGTGTGTGCGTGTGTGTGTACGATGCACAGAAATTCATCAATAACTTTAATGATTGGCATTTGAGATTATTCTACTTCTTCTTCTTTCCCATCTCTGTTTCTTCTTCGTCTTTTTCATCATCTTCTATACCACTTCGTTAAAAAGGTTTGTGACTTGTGCTTGCAAAATAATTTTCATTATATGCATTAAAAAAAGAAAAAAAAAAAAAATAAATAAATAAATATATAAATATATGAAATTTAAAAAACGACATATCACAGCCATTTTGACGAGTTTGGGTAGAGAAATATTCAACAGCCATCATATACGCACACATAAATAAGTTATAAAAAGGATTCACGGGAACATCATATGAAAAGGTTAATTTTACTTTTTACAATTTTTATCGGATCAAAAATAATTCATTATTTCATTTATATTTTGGAGGCGTTTCTTCTTTTCCAGAATAGCAGCAGCAATTACTTGATTATATTTTATAGTCCTAACGGTATGTATATGTACGAGTATACTGTGATTAATGTTTTATTTAAAATTGTACTAATATTGTGTTCATGTTTTTGAAAAAAAATTCGAATCTAAACAGGAATGAAAACACGGCGCCTTTCATAGAAATCCAACTGACCGATTAAATTATAATCATTTTTTTTTGCGCTGCTTTCAAAAGCGATCGATCGACTTCGAGCGGATATCTCTTATATGCGTAAGCAAGAGTTCTAAGCGGAGAAGCTTTCAACTCATAGTCTAGTTACTAGTTATTAATATTTTTTCCGTCATCTCTTTTAATAATTATAACAAGTATTTGTTGGCGACATATCAGATCAATAGAAGATCTCAGCTTTTTGCCCATCTCGGCCAGAATCTATTCGTTTTCAAAATTCGCTCCTAGCGGAGCATTTGCAATTTCGCAAAATTTGAAAATTCCAATAATTTATTGGACGGACATGTCAATCAGGCTACAATGACTAACAACAATTATTTGTTTATTATATTAGTTCCAACTTTTTTCTTGTTTCAGGCAGAATTAATTCATTTTCAAAACCGATTCCTAGCAGAGCATTTGCAATTTCGCATCCCAGTAATAGGCGTAGTTACAATCCCATATCATATGGGCATGACAAGCAACTGGAACAAATACAGTATAGTACAGTTCACGATTGAGTTAGACAAGAAGAGCGTATATGCTTCAATTTGGAAATCTCTACACAATGCACTTTTGATTTTCCTAATAATTTCCCTTGCTCTTGTGCCTTTCGCAATGTAAAAAAAAAAAACAAAAGAACATTCTTTTGTTGCCATTGCTCAAACTATCAAGTGGAGCTTCTACTCAACCATTATTAGTTAATTGCATTTGATTTCATTAATATGCGTACAAAAGGAGTAAAGGACACCCGTCGGCTTGAAAATATCTAATGAAACTTGAAAGAGAATCATTTATAAATTATCGATGTGCGTTCACTATACTTGTACATATACATATGTAGGCGAACATCTATCTATCTATCTATCAGTCTCTTCATTGAAACCACAATAACTTATGCAGCAATTATTATTAAATTTTCCCAACCCTAACACACATACACACACACACACCGAGATACTCATAAACACAATACATGAATGCTCTAAATGCATTAGCAAGACGAAGATGATATTTGATGATTGGATTAAATTTTTCTAGAATTTTCATATGAGATTTTGCTTATGAAGCTGTAAAATCTAGATGACTATAATAAAAGCGGTGACGTTAAAGCGAATTCCCAACTAAGGTAATAAATTACGAAAAACAGATAACTGAAAATGCATTTTCTAGAATAATAAAGCGCGTCAAGGTAGCAAAGCAAGACATTAGATAACACTAACAATTTATTTATGGCCCAACATAAAGCGGAATTAACGAAGAATATATTGTTCGCATATAATGAAAATTGCATCTCGGAAAATGATAAAGATGATATTGAAAGTATTTTCTGCTTTTTACGAGAGCTGAGGATGGGAATATAAAGCTCTGTGCCTTAGAAAGAGATGATAGGAGGTAATTGCATCCGCTCGCACTTTGAGTCGATTTTTTTTACAATTTTAACAAACCCGAATAAATACATGACGTAACATTTACTTGGAGGAATACATGGAAATGCAAGGGCCCGCTCTTTTGGTGGCGGAGGCTTCATTTCGCCAAAGCAACGAGTGCAACGTATGCGAAAATCACTAATACGTGAATAAAACTCATCCACACGTTTTTTTTTTTTGCTGTATTTTGTTTCTCGCTTTTTCTTTTTTTTTTTATTGTTATTATTATTATTATTATTTAATATTATATCTCATTAATCTTGGTTATTATGCACGCAATTGTTTTTGATTTTTACTCTTCTCGTTGTTACTTTTTATTTTAGGCTTTCTTTAATTTTTTCTAATTTGCTCTTTTTTGAAATTTTTTTGTTTTGGGTTTTTTTCTTTTGAAAAATTGTTGGAAATAAAAAAAAATACACCACACAATTTCCTCATTTACTTTCTTCTCTCTCTCTCTTACTTTTCCTATTTAAACATTTGTAACAGAAATACGAATTCGAATCAATGGAATCAGGTAACGGCAACAAACGAAAGGCAAAATATGGATTAATGTTGAAAATTTTACTCCCGCCTTCCAAAAGGAATAAGTAGTAAAGAAAGGAGAAATTGTAGCAAACTTATATATATATATATATATATATAACCTGCTCTGCTTATGAATTATAGAGAAATATTAAAATATGTTGTTGTTGTTTTTTTTTCTTCTTATTTATTTCTTTTTTTTTTTTTTGTTTTGTTTTTTTTTTTTATGATTCATATGTGACAATGATTTTATTATGTTTGCTTTTCTTTCATTTAACTTGAAATTGAAATCAGTTGAAAAACGTACATTTGCCTTGAGACATAAACATAACAGCATTTAAAAAAAAAAAAAATTTCAATTTTCGAAAAACTTCAAATTCCTTTTCAATCAACATCAACAGGCTTTCCACCTTTTTTTTTTTTTTTTTTTTTCTTTCTCCTTTTTTCTTTTTGTAAGATATTAATTTAGACAGAAAGGACGAAATATGAAAATTGTATGAAAGTAATAATAAAACACGAGAAAAAATAATAAAATGAATTATGAAAGAAATATAACACGACATATAGCGGACGGCGGCTAAACTAACAAAATGATCGAACGATTTTTAAAGTGGAATCATAAATTTTTGTGGTTTTTTTTTTTTTGTTTTTTTTTTTTTTTTTTGCTTTTTTAAAAGAGCATTTACTTGCTTTCAACAGTTAACAGCGCATTTTCTAAGTTTGTATTTTTCATTAATGCATTTGATGTTTGTTTTTCTTCTTTGTTTTTTTTTTTTTTTTTTGTTTCCTTTATTGTTCTCCTTCTCTATCTCCCTTCATTGTTCCCCTTCGCACGATAGTCAGAATGAATAATGCAGGATTGAAAACGTTCACAAAGTAATCCCGAAATTTATGCTTGTGTTTTTACATCGCTTTTTTTTCATCTTCTTCTTTTCTTCTTTGGCAGGAATAGGGATTAATTTTTCCCCTTCCCCATTTCTCATTTTATTTATTTATATTAAATCAATTATATTGTGAATCGTTTATGTGGTGGCGTGTAATTTATCATCCGTACTCTATTGTGCTGGATGTTGTGGCATCAAGATCTGAAATTGCTGACCTTGTTGTGGATGTTGCGGTGCCGCGGTCGGATAATATGGTGTAGGCATTAATTGTGTGGGATGTAACGTCAGGGGACACATGACATGGTACTGCGGCTGAGTCTGTGGTCCAAATGTAGGCTGTGGTCCCCCGCCAGCAGGGGAAGGTTGTGGTTGTGGGTGAAACGTTTGATGCGGTTGGCCCGGTGAAGGAGTAGTTGAAGGTGGCGTTTGTGTCAAAAATTGCAATGGTTGCGGCTCGTACATACGTACCTAAAATGCGTAGTTTTAAACAAAAAAAAAAATAAATAAATAAATAAATAAATAAATTTTTTTTTAATAAACAAAAACTCAATCAACACATATATATGCTATATATGTTGTACTACGCTTTTGACATTTTAACTGCCACAAAACGATTTTGTAATCAAGGAAAAAAAGTTTCACTGAAAAAATATCTGACAAGCATCGAAGCCTCTGTCAGCCTCTTATTGTGTTTTATTTTACAATACTACGTTCACTTACGCATTTCAGTAGTAATTGTTGCAGAAAATTAGAGCTTAACACAACATAGATTCTGCTTATGTAACTAATGGACAGACTATTACGATAAACACGGCGAATAGTTTGCGATGGCAGATATATTTATTAAGATGAGGACCATAAAATCGGTATTTTTAGTTCACCGACCGAAAGAAGAGAATTGAAAATCTTATCTTTCTGACATATCGGGGAAAACAACAACATGCCTTGTCGGTTCAAACCGAATTGACCGAGATGGTCGTTTCGGTACGTTATTGCATGGCAGGATTCTGTGAGGAGGCTTTATAAAAATTAATAACACATTCTTAATAATTAACTTTACTGAATACACTGAAATTTTGTAAATATGTCGACACGTGATCCTTAATTTCAATCAATAGCTTTTAAAATTAAAAATTTTATATAAATAAGCAACTGAACGACTCTTAAAAAACTTAAAAAAAAAGTAGGTTTAGAAAATATCATTGGAAAATTTTCATAATTTCATTAATAATTTTTGCTTACCATTGTTGGCGCGTACGGTTGTGATTGAAAATGTGGCGCATGAGGGGTTTGAGGATACGGTATGAACTGTGTAGGCAATGGGGCGGTAGCCAGCAGCGGTTGGCCCGTAGCAGCTGAAGCATGCATTTGTGAGGGTGTCAAGGGTCCATAATTGCTGCGCCGCATACGCTGTTGCTGACCAGCTTGAGGATGAGTGGGCGCATGGAATGCCGCAGCTGACTGTTGACTTTGCATCATGTAGACTGGCGTTTGTTGTCCGGGTACTGCGGCCGCTATAGGCGCACCCGCTGGTGTGTAAAGCGTTGCCAGAGGCACCGGTGTTTGTGGGGTATGAGGTCTTGACGGATTTGGAGTGCTGGGACTACGAGGCGTAAACGGCTTGGCTGAGGGATTCAGTACATGTGTTTTTTTAACCGGCGCAGCAGTTGTGTTATTATTACTTGTATTCGTGCTGGTCGTGTTTGTTGATGCAGGATTACTGCCCGTTGGCGATGCATGCTTATCAAGGATTGAAGATGTGGCTGCTGACATATTGTCTGCTTTGCTAAGGGATGTTTGCTGTTGTTGCTGTTGATTAGGCGTTGTACAGTTGTCTGATATTGAGGGAGAACTTTGCTGTTGTTGTTGGTGCTGATGCTGGTTTTGACCGTTGCCCGCCGTCGCCACAACATTTTGGTGCAATGTTTGTGTTTGCTGTTGCGGTGAAACTTGAGATGCTGCATGTTGATGTTGCACATTTTGCTGCTGATGGATTTGCGGAGACTGCTCTTGTTGCATAAGTTGCGGTTGCTGTGACTGCTGAGGGGGATGTTGATGTTGCGTTAAATTATGTTGTTGCATCGTAATGTTATTTTGCGGTCCGACCTGGTGCGTCACATGTAATGATTTCTGGGTTTGCTGCTGTTGTTGTGATGTTTGTTGCGGCTGCATGTGAGACGACGATGATTGTTGCCCATGTTGTTGTTGCAAATGAGCTGGCACATAATGCTGCTGCTGCTGCTGTTGTTGTTGTTGTTGCTGCTGTTGTTGCTGCTGCTGCTGCTGCTGAGGGTTAACGTGATGTTGCTGTACTGCCGATTGATGCTGTTGCGGTACATGTTGCATAGAAACACTGTGTTGCTGCGTCGTTACTATGTGAGTAGTCACATGTTGTGACATATGTTGTTGCTGTTGTTGCTGTTGCTGCGGTGGTGAGACTGGAGGCTGCGGTTGATGATGACCTTTACCAACATTCATATGCTGAGTGGTTTGCTGCTGCGAACTTATTGCTTGTGGCTGTTGAGTTTGGATCACTGCTCCGGGAGTTGATGTAGCGTTTGACAACTGGAAATCTTGACCGAATTGTCGCAATTCTTGCAACTGACTGTCTCGTGAACGCATTTGGCGTTGCGGTTGCGGTGGTGGAGGTTGAGTGCTGCCTCCTGTCTGCAGCGGTGGCGAATTACTATTACTCGATTGCTGACCGGGGCCACCATGCAAAGGTCCATGATTTGAATGCCTTGTTTGATTTTGAACGTCATTACCATAACTTAGATTGGAGTTCGTAGATGATCCCGAATATTGACGCATTGGTCTTTGAGGTAAAGGTTTACCGCCGCTACCACTTCCACTGGACGCACTATCGCCATTCAATTTTGAAGAGCCTCGATATTGTCCACTACCACCACCACCGTGCATTACCGCCGTAAAACTCTGGTAAGTATTTTGCTGCTGAGTCTGCATGGATACCGATTGATAAATGGTACTTTTACTGTTACCCACTCCCGAACCGTTTTGAGGCATACCGCCGTTGCCGCCGCCGCTTGATGTAGCCATTTGATTTGGTCCGTTTCCACTGTTCGGGGGCGGAGTGTTACGCACCAATTTTTGCCCTTGTGGATTGGATTTGCGTTTCATCATCGAACCACCGACGTACTTATTGACTCCGCCACCACCACCAGCACCGTCTTGTTGTATCATATTATTATTTATTTGATTTGAGGCTGGGACCGTCGAGCTCTTCATTCCACCCATCATACCACCAGCGGGTGTTTGCGTGGAGTTCGACTGGCCCAACGTAGACGATGTTGATGCTGAAGCGTTAGCATTGCTCATCATACGTTCGCCACGGTCGCTTATCAAGTCACGTTCGTGGCTGTTATGAGCGCCCCGTGGCGAAGGTCCCGACCCAATAGATTGGCCGGACATGGCAGTAGTAGGCGGCGGACCGGAAATATTCCGCGACGGTTTGCTTATATAACGTTCCGGCATGACGGGACCTTCAGAGCGCGGTTTACGTTCTCGCTCACGCTCATCCCTATGATCGCGCTCGCGCTCACGGTCGCGTTCCAAATCTCGTTCCTTTTCCCTTTCAATCTCGCGTTCACGCTCGTGAACTTTTTCCCGATCACGTTCTGTGTCAAGTGAGGGTCTAGCAACAGCAGCGAACATGGCTTCTTCGTCGCCATTTTCCAAATCTAAACGATCACGATAGGCTGGATTATTTTCAATTTCGGCAGCTAACTTCTCAGCTCGGGCTTCACGTTCCTTAAATTCCTCCGAATCAACTTTATCTAGCGGCACAGTATACGACGACAATGAATCGTCGAAAGTCGATTGTACACCGAATTGATTTTCGTTTTTTCGAAACATTTCATTCGCGTCCCAGCCATTGGCCGCGTCTTCCAATTCTATGTCAACGTCTCCATTCATGCCTGCAGGATCCCAAGGTTCCAATTCTTTCTCATCAAAGCGAGAGCCTTAAATAAATGATGAAAATTGTTATTATGTATTATTTCAAGTGGATTTGTTGTTTTTTTTTTTTTTTTTTTGGTTCTTTTTCACTAGACATACCGTTACACTTTTCAGAAATCGCGGCATCGGTTTGGAAAGATCCTACTGTGGCATATTGTGAATCAAAATCTTTGGCCGAAATGCTAACGACAGTATCAGAGGGAAATATCATAAAATTTGGAACAGATTTAATCTCCTCTGGAGCGTTTTTACTTGATTTAATGCATGACGGTAACTCAAGAGCTACATCGAAACCTTGCGAAAACGTACGAAAGACACCTTCATATATGTTACCAGACCTTAAACGCATTTGAACTACATTACCAACTAAAGCGGTAGCGGCATGCATAAAATACGCATTATTGTAAACGCCCTGAGCCGAAGGACGCTGCGTCTTATTAGATGGTCTGTTATCGTTTGAATATCTGGAAAGGAAAAATTATAAAGAATTTTAAAAATTATTAAAAATAAACGAAAAGCTATATACAGGCTTCCAAATAAAGCAACTTCTCATCGAAATCTCAATTTTCTTTTTTCCTGTCTATACCTAGTTAGTTAAATGGAAAAATTTTGAAAACTTATTTTGCGTAAATAAAAAAAAAATAATGATTCAATTGTTCTGCAGCTCACCACAGAACGAAAAAAGAATAGTACAATTGTAGTTTAAAGAACAACCACAAGCAAACATTGCAATCGTATTAAACATTGTGTACATCAAATCAGCAGCAAGCTTAAATGAAAATAACAAAAATATGTGCGGCTTAGACCGAATATTTGTATACCCATCGCCTATATGGTCATAATCGTTTCGAAACTTATTTCAACAGACCAAAGTAGCTTTACGGCAAAGAGCTGACACGACCGACTTGGTGGGTCCATTATGGGTGGACGGGAAACTTTGAGAATGTTACGAGACTTTTTTTTGCTCTTTAGACATTTCAAGTGTATCCTGCATTGTACATCATGCATGCTTCGAAGAATGAATTGCTGCTTTTCATCCAACCAAATGAAACCAAAATGAGATGATTGATTATTATTAGTTCGCAATTGGATTAGGTACGGTTCAGTTATTCCGAAAAGATCTTATTAAGATGCTTTTCAACATACGCTTTTCGAAATAATTTTGAATTCTGCCATCTACTCATGCTCCTCACATTACTGTTAGACAAACATAAACACACACTACTGTGGCAATGTTAACTCTATGTTTTGCTAATGGAATGACAAATTTAATATGCTCTCCGACGACGATGTCTATAAAATGCAAAGAAACAAAAAAAAAAAAAAAAGCAAAAAAAAGGGTTTAAACATATGCGTATAAGCATACATTTTTTAAGCATTTTTTTAAACACATTTGCATATTTCATATTTAACACATTTACTTTTTATTTATGTTGTCCTCGTTACTGTGTTTGTTGTCGGAATTTTATTGTTTTAAAGGTTGCGATACAAAAGAAAATCAATTAAACATGAATTTGACCCAAATTCGGTTTCTCTTTAAGGTTGTTCACATACAAACGGGAAAGTGCGGAGCAATCAAATAACAACACAACGAGGGTAGGAGAAAGAGAAACGAAAAAGAGGCTCGAAAGCTTATAAAACAGGACGATACTATACAATAGTAGCAAGTCTATATACTAAGCATAAATTATGTATGAATCTTTCGCCTAAGAAGAATTAAAAATTGATAAAACAACAAATAAAAAAAAGTAAATAAAACACAATATTGGTTGTGCAAATTTACAGACACAAAAATCTAATTGAATTAAGCATAAAATTGACCTGAATGCAAGCGAGAATAAACATCCCGCAATGCATATATAAATATGTATTTATATATGTTTATATATACATACATCGATATACATAGCGATTACAATCATCAATTACAATAATGCATGAGATTGGTTAGTTCCAACCATTTAACGCTTTACTTTTCTTTTTTTTTTTTTTTTTTTTTGCATTTGTCAAAAAATAAAATATCGCTAAATTAAGTTTTAATAATGTAGACTAAAATACGATATTTTTATTATTGGTTTTTTGTTTTCGAAAGAAAGCTTAGGAAATTTACTTCGGTCTCGATTCCTCATGCATTTAACTAAGAGCCATTTAGAAAAGTTTAGAAAGAGAAGGCCTTCCCTTAGTTGTTTTATCAAATATATATTAACGTCCCCGATGATCGCAGATAGTTCTTATAAAGTGAATACGGCAAGTAAAAACATGGTAGGTGGAAAAGATATTAATTTAATTATGCATTTTTTTTATCAATTTAGCCCAGAAGAATCCAGAATCCCTTTTGTGAATTGGAAAATGGGCAAAAGAACAAATTTCACATACAGCTTTGAGTAAAGTCCTTATCTACCCTTATACCAGTGTACGAACATTGTCTATCTATTTATAGGTCAAATGTCTCCAGAATCGAACTTACATAAACATACTGTAATGGCACTTGAAGTGAACTTGGAAATGTTCACTCAAGGTATATAAAATATACATAAAAATTATGCGTAACAATCCATTAAAGAAAAGGATGATTTTGCGACCATCCTACGGTCTTGCGAGCCTTGAACCCGTCATAAAAATCGCACTTTTGAGTTTAGACCTTTCATAAAAGGATGTCCCATCTTCTATCTATCAGAATTCAAAAATGTACACCAGATAATCTCTGAGGTGTACATAGCAAGATTTGGCGTTAAATAGGCCATGTCCGTAATGACGTACTAACACTTTCCTAAAATAGAAAAATTAAGCGCCTAACAAATACTTTTTAAGTCTAATTGAAGCCGAAAAAAGAGGCAGCGTTTAATGGATCATGATCTGAAATTTGCTTCGAATTTTGTCCTTAGCCGCTGTGTAAAATTCATCCAAGTGGATTAACACATACACTCACAAGAAGAAGCACAATTTACTTAATAATCTTTTTCGTGAGAGATGATAAACATCGAAGATTCCTTCAAAGACGAATACAATAATTTCTAGTGAACATTGAATAATCTTTTTTATTTTTTGCTAATTTAGGCCAGCCATGTAAAGTTTCTCAAAAGAGCAAGTTTTAATGCGACTTCCTTCCAGCAAGCTACACATTATGATCAAGTCAATACGTAAAAAAATTTCAAATCCCCTTGATGCGATATAACAAAAATTGACAACTATTTCTCTATTGTGTTCTTATTTATTGCTATTACAATTTATTTATTTGTCAGAGGGGTACTAGCAGCTTAAATTAAAGCTGGCTGCAACTATCAAACTTAACCATATACCTACCTCTATGTCCCAAACGCTTATCAGCTAAACTCAGATGTAAATTCTCAAAGCCGCATTAAAATTGGTTAAGAAACAATAAATCTATAGATCGGTTTACAAGCAAATTCAACACGTTACGAAAATTTCAGGAAATTCACTCAATATGTGAGAGTTTTAAGAAATTCACCAATTAATTTTCCAACTATTATTCAATTCAATTATTGTGTATCAAGTTTATCGTATAAATATTTAGTCAAGGGACTTTATTGATATTTATGCGGCTGCCTTGCTCAAGTTACATGTATGTATACATTTTTCTCAAAAGTCCAAACATTTGTTCAATATTAATTCCCTAAAAATGTAGAGGGGAAAAAAATTATTTTTCTACTAAAGCGTAACTTTTCATTTGTTTGTACTGTCTTTTAATCAAATTTCAAAATAATTTCCTTCTCGACAAGAACGAAATTTCATTTCTTCATCTATTTAGTTAGCGTTTCAATAACAAAACCACCCTTAAAATAATCTATATTAATAAAGCAAAAGAAGTCGAAACAAAAAAACACATTAGATGCAAGAATAGAAAGACACAAGATTTCCAAACGACAAACACATGGCTGAGCGAACAACTAATAGAATTTCTTCGAAAACGTGCCATTGAATGTGAGTTACATAATTTTAAAAGTATTACCAAAAGAAACTTTTATCCTTTAATTGAAGATTTTTAATAAAATATATATTTAATAAATTTAATTACAATATGCGAATAACTTGACTTACCTTGACATACCACCACCAGAACCACTGCCACCGCCACCGCCGCCAGTGGGGCGATTTTTGCGTTTATTATTGTTGTTCATTATCTCTGTTTAGTTCTTTAGCAATCTACTGCACACACCAATACCTTTTTCTTAAGTTTTTTCGCTTAATAAATTTCGTTACTGATTTTTGCCAAAATTAATAGAAAATTTTCACTAGTTTCACTCGAAACAATTTCTTCTTTTTTTTTTCCTAAAAAATCGTAGCTTTTATAATGCTTCCGTCTTCTTGGCAAAATGAATCTGAGAATTAGTTTTTTTCTTTTTTGTGTTATCCTTATGCGGAATTTCACGCTGTATGCTCGATTTATTTGTTTATTCAAAGCTCTCGCTTGCCTGCTTGTTTTCTGTCCATGCAAATTTCTTGATTTTCGTCTTCTTTGTTTTTCTTGCTCGCTCTGCTCGCCTGTTTAAGACGGACTAATTTATCTCTTGTGTGTGTGACTGTCTGGTTTTCCTTTCTCTGTCTAGCTTTGCGTGCTCGTACGTTTATATGTATGTGTCCGTATGTGTACCTGGATCTAAGTGTTTGAATCTGTGTATAGTGTTGTATTCTTTGCTTTTCGGTTTTATTTCGCTGTAAAATTTTCACGTTTTTCTCTCTTCTGCTTGCTTCCTTCCTTTTGGTTACTGTTTCTCTTTCTTTCAGTTTAGATATCTTTGCCAAAATGCTGTTCAGCCCGCTGCTACGGTCTCACAGCACTGCACTTTTTTTCCCACAAAATTCTTTACTTAACTTTCGCCACGTAATTTTTCAAGCTTATACTTTTAAGTTACTGCTTCGTTTGGTTTATTATTAATGCTGTATGTATGTATGCAGCTTGTAAAGTTACTCGTTTACTTTAATGTTTATTTTATCGATTTTCTAACAATTAGTATTTTAACAAACTTTAATTGCTATTTAACTTTTACTTCACAAATCTACATATGCATGACAATCAGTGATGCCAGATCGATAATATTCTAATCAATTAAACGGTAGGGATTGCCTTCATTTCAAATATTTTATCAGTAAAAATTTTCATCAATTAAAATAATCTGTACATATTAATATCTCAAACACATCTAAAGCAATAAACCGTTCTCATTTGTTTGTTGTAAAAGTAATGCAAAGAAAATGGTACTTATATCATAAATGTAATCAATTACAATGAACAAATTGTAGGCAATCCTCAAATGTAACTCTTTATTTTGTGCAGGTACCTAGTTACCAGATTTATTTGATATAAATTTTTTAAATCTGCTATAAGAGAAGCGAGAATAACACTTTTTAACAAAATAAGTTTGTATTGTTTTGATTCCACAATTTTTTTTATCATGATAATATTGTATGTACATTATTGGGGTACATATTAAACTAAATTGTACGCATGTAATCTAAATTGTAAGTGAACGATCATATTACTTTCAACTTAAGCCGAATACTATGATACCAAACGTTTTTTGTTATCTTTTAAAAAGTTATTACAAATTGAGAACTATATGTTATGCACATACGCCATTTTGTTGTTTTTTTGTTTAATGTTAAGTAGATATATACATAGGGAAAGAGAGACCGATATTCAGCGTGACCTTTGTTTTAGCCCTCCTCAACCTGGGGTGTGATTACGTAGCTGAAAGTTACTTTTTGCTTTCAGTTGATAAGGTGAATACATAAAAATAATGTTATATTCGTTTTAAAAGACTTTTTTCAATGCCCAGTAACTTAACAAGCACAGCTGAAAGCGAAAGCAAGAGTTAAATTATTCACACGTGATTAATGCCTTGAAAGCTAATTTTTAGCTACGTAATTAGTTCATTTATGTTACTAGGCTTCAGTGACTTGAACTTTGGTTATATATGACACCGTGACACCGCACCGAAATCCGGCGAACCAGCTAAAAAAAAAAAAATAGAATGAATTCCATTGCAACGCAAGTAACATTGTGGAAAACTTCATTGGAGTGTATAAAGGTTAGTATTGCGGCATTTAATATTTCGAAAATCCAAGGACAGTTTTTAAACATTTCTCTAGATCGCTAGCGAAACAGCTACTACATGCCAAAGAAGCTGGGAAGAATCGTTAACTTAAATGTTGTCTCTTCACAAATTTTAAAAACAACTTATTTTGATTTACGTTGTAAGTGTCCTTTTTCTCGATATCGTCAGAACCTCGATCTGAAGCTTTTCCTAAAAAGAATGTACAAAGTTAGGGTTGTTAAAAAAAGCCTATAAAGAGCCACTTACTTTCTGGCGTAGGATCATATAAAAGAGCCAATTTTGCCTTTTCTCTAAATTCACGGCTGTAGTTTTTCTTAGGTTTTTCCCGTAATATAAATAAAGGGGACCGATTCACATTTCTTAATTTACCCTCGGGTGATACTACAGGACTGTTAAAAGGCGTTGTAGAAAAGTCTTCAAAAATAATATCCACAATTGTGGGCGTTAAGGTTTGTGCGGCGCTGCACAACATTTGCGTCCAGTAAAAAGTGAGCGAAAATCATTTGAATATCCCAGCATTCCAAGCGCCCTATGAAGATGATGTTGTTAGTGTTTGTTTGCGTGGAGTCATCATAATTGAGACAGTTGGATGAGCAAGTTAGAGGACAGCTGGCACGAAACTTATAAACATAACAATCTTAAAAATATAAATAATATTTAAACTTGGAATTTACACAAAAATTTACATAACAATTAAATAAATACTGAAAGTAAGACTTTTTATATACCTTAAATACTTTTTATTCGTTCATATATTAGCACAAAAGAAAAAAGGATTTGGCAGGAATGGAAGAGAAAATTTAATATAATGATGAAGAAAACATCATTTATATATATTAATCAATAAAATTGTTAACATTCAAGTTTATGAAAAATCTGTAAAAAAAGCATGTGTGACAATTAATTAATATTTTCTGCAATAAAACATCTAAAAATTTTAACACTGTATCTATCTCTTTATCACCTTTTTCAATTGTCAAATTCTGCATAGTTTTCTTTTCCTTTCATTGTCATCCTCGTTATTCGTAACATATACAATTTCTTCTTCTTCTTCTATTCGGCAAATCGACAACCGTAAATTCGTATAGTTTCTTTATAGAAAACAAATAAATCGTCAATTTGGCTCTCGTTTTTCACGGCTCTCTCAATTATTAATGTATTGTATTAGAAAATTTGTGTGGAAGTGTTGGAAAGCTGGCAGCCTCTTGCCTACAATCAATTGTCTGCTGAAAAAAAAACGATAATCACGACGATAAGCGCCTGCATACATGATTACCCTCCAGAATGCGACTGGGAAAAGTAACTTGCAGCTACATGATTATGTCCCTTAGTTTATAAACAAAACGAAGAAGAAGACGAAGTACTAATGAAAAATTTGAAAGCACAAAAACCATTTATCAAATTTTATTTTTACTTTGTATTATATTAAATCTGTTTTATATTATATGATTTGAAACTTGATTTATACAAAATATTTTCTTTTTATATTCTTACGATTACTCGTTAAAGCTTATATCGTTTATCACCTGCGGCACAAGGGTATATTAAGTTTGTATGAATGTATCCAACACCGAAAAGTACGTGAATTAGACTCACTTTTTATTATACCGATCGATTCAGAATAAATCGTTCTAAACGTGTCTGTCCGTCCGTCTGTCTTATATATTTTTTGTTGTATTGTATAATGTATAGGTTGCAAATTGATAAAATTTGTTCCTTGGTGCAGATTTTAGAATCTTATGTCTTCCGTCTCAAATTTACAGGAACAGGAAAACAAAATCTTCAACTTAAACTTGCTGTTATCTATTAATCACTTCAAAGCCTTACAATTAGAAGTTAATTATTGAAAAAAAAGTCATTGATCATGATTCCGTTATTTTAATTTGTATTTGTCTATGCAATATAACAATACTGTGACGCTTTTGGTTGTCCGTAAAAATAAACAAATTAAATAAACAAATGGTTTCCATAGAGACATTATCTAAAGAGGACATACTTTTATATTTGCAATACGTTCGGAGAAAGCCCGTTTAAATAAAAATTTCATTCTCTACATCGTTCTTATCAATCTGAAGTAAGAAGTTGACAGACAGACGCTTAATTGACATGTTATACAAAGCAAGTTGATTTTTATTTACTACTATTATTATTATAAATTTTTAGCCAGAGAATTAATTCTAAGACTAAAGTCTTAAAGCACTAGCATCTAAGGCTTTCGGCTTTATTAAAAACTCTACCGCACTTGTGATTTGAACCCACGACCATTGAGATGCTGGTCGAGACTCTTGTCTACTCGGCCACTTAATTAATTTCATAACTGAAAATGTATACCATCATCTTATGGCAAGGGGAAATATCATCTTACTCCTTCTAAGTTAATTGTGCGCGCTTTTATTGAAACAAAGAAATATATATGCAAGTGTGTGGTTTCTGTCCTTTCTTGAAATACCAAAAATATGTATGTATCTTTCTCGCGTTAGTATGACATTTAAAGTATTCATGAAGGATCTTTAACATCGCTGAAGATACCGAGTGAGTGAGGTGAGGACGAGTATGCTATCTATGAGTACATATATTCTATACACATAAATAATAAAATTGTTGCACAACGGTTCGACTTCTCTTTTCGAATATCATGCGAATTAACTTTTGAAATAAAGGCCGAATAACATCACCTACTTTCATTCAGTCTCTTACCGACTTAGTCTGCTACCGACGTAGGCGTTGGTGTAAATATATATAAAGGGTGGAAAAAAAGTATTGAGATCGTATTTTTTTAAAATACTTGCGCTATGATGTCGGTATATATATTTTTTCGGGTAGGTCGGTAGGAATGTTATGCATAGCTGACAACATTTGAAGACACGTGGCCTCTTCGGTTTGTATTCATCCTTTTGATATATCAATAATATCTACAAGGTCTCTTTAAGTCAAACGACAGTTGACAAGTACAAGCATTTCAATTTTGTTGATGCCTACCTGCCTGCACCAATTAGCTCGTCACAGACATTCAGATTTCGCGTCGACATTAAAGGTTCGCCTACTTTTCATCATGGTTCGGGCTTCGTATCGTATCGTAACGGATCCAGGATTAACCACTCGCAAGAATGTGGCAGCGTTACGCTTCGAATTAAGCCCATCACATATTTTATGTATTTATGTATTTTTTCTTTGTAGAAAACTTCATCTATCCAAAGCTCTCTTTCCCAATCGCATCGAGCTAATTTGTACTCTCAATGTACGGAAGAAAAAAAGATGCATTTAACAAATTGAAATAACATAATGTCGAGTATAGAACACAGGTCTTGCTTGCTGGATTTGCTAAGCATTTTTTGTTCATTTTTTTATTCAATGGATTTCCCAGTACATTTTCTTTAATATCGTTATTAACCGCCAGACCCACTTTTTATTATACTAAGCTAAGTCTACCCACCTGTCCGTCACCCTGTCTGGTATCTGTTCATGTATACATGTGTTCAAGCTCCGATCACAATTTTAAGATATTTTGATGAAATTTGATACACGGACATGCTTTGACCTAAGCACAAAGACCATTGCAAATGGTTTGGATCGGTCCATTCTTGCATAAAGGACCATTCGACAATTTCTTGTATAAAGGATGTTTTTAAAAAACTTTTCAACAAAACTCGCTGTGTAATAGTAATTCATCATTCTAAATTAAAGTGGATCGCTTTCGAACCGCATGGATCTATTTCTTGAATCTCATTCCACATATAAAATTCCTCATGAATAAGTAAGCCCTTCAGAAAAGGTTGAATACTTAATGTTGTATGATGAAATAGTACCAAAATAACCTGCAACATTAATAGTAGGGAATTTCGATCACATAAGTGTATTGCCTGGATTCTAACATATATAAGGGATATCATGAACAGCAAGTCCCTATATGGAGAGAAGCACATTACGAAATAATAAAATTTTTAGGAAATAGGTAAGATTTGCTAAATTTGGATCACATCTTAGGAAAATTTGGTCATTCTTCAATGTATGGGATAAAAAAATAAAATAATGCGTACTTTTTGAATTATTATTATCAGAAGGGGCGAATAATTGTACTAGAAGAATTGACCTTGGGCGTTTAATGATTGGCCTTGCCCGACTACAATTTTCTTACTTGCTTGTGCATGATCTTCACTTTCGCTTTCGCAAGCTGACTTTCTACCATTTTTACGCATGACAGTGGGGCAAAATTTACAGGCAAGGGAAAATTGTTAAAGATTTTGATGGTAATTATGCGTCCGAATGGATTGGAAAAATGCAAGAGCGATTTCAAAGGCCAAAGAATATGCATGTTGAGAGCGAGATAGATGACTATGACCAAATCGATTGCTTAATTTAGGTAAGGACTGAAAAGGTATATATATATCTTACTTTGGAAGGCTTTCAATGAAGGACGTAGCTCTCGTCCACATCAACGAGCCATCCATAACACCTTATCTTATAAAATCTTCGATGCGTATTGCGAAACGTTATGAAAAATCTCTAGTAAAATTATCTTTTTAATGGATGTTACTAACACATCGTAAATTCAAACTCAAGTCACGGTCAGCAACAGTGACGATTGCGGCTTTTATTACCATTTGATAAAAGAAAGGCATCTTGCTATTGCAAAAAAAAAAAAAAAAAAGAAGCAAAACAGTAAAAAGTCATAAAAGAATAAAAATATTCTATTGGCGTTGATACGAATCTTAAACGTACATCACATAAATTCAAATTACAAGGACTGATAGTAATGCTATAGCTTTAAGAAAAAAAATTTTAAAAAATTTTCTTGAGAAGATCCAACATTTCAATAAAAATGAATTGTTTCCTTCATACGTTTGTCGACACTGTCGTACGTATTGATTAGTGTCCAGTGTGAAACTCCGAACCTAACTAAGATATAATAAACAGCCTTTCCTTGCACTCGTTTGCCATTTCAGTTACAATATTCGCTTTTCCTTACTTCTGACCACTTTTAGCTAAGAAATCGGTGATATAAAGAGCTGTGTGTTATACATCCTACCAGCAAGAATAAAAGAATAAAGGAATAAAAGAGGTCCTGCAGTGCTCTTCTGGGCAATAAAGTCCTAAAGAAAGCACGAAACAGGTGCTTGCGTGTATTTTTTGGGAGCGACATCTGTTGGTAAAAGCGATAAAATAATGCATATTATCCATGCACATAACGGTTAAATTCGGTGATTTTGACCTTCATCTGATATTAATGAGTTCTTCATGTGTATATGGATATTAATCATGGAATGCTCAAAATTGTATTTCCGACATATATTACTGTTGCTCTTCGATATGAAGAAATCGGTTGCCAAAGCCCGATGAACACTTTTACAAGCTGATAAAGGTGATGGCGATCCATCATATCCCAATTATCGGCTTTGGTCGCACCAATTCAGAAGTGGTCATTTCGATGTCATCAACAATGAACCGCCAAATGTTCGAAGACGATGAGTTGCAAGACTTTGTGGACGTAAACCTAGCTCAAACAGCTTAACAATGGCCTGAAAATGCCCCTTCGAATCATTTGTGCATCGGGGCTTAGTGTTTGCCAGGCAAAAAAAGAAGAGTTTTCTGTGGCGCGTGTGTAGCAATTAAAAGGTGGATCTGCCCAAGACATTCTCAAGAGCGAAAAGTCATGGGTTTATTCAGGAAAGGCATCCTCATCGACACTGGAGCGGAATATTCATAGCCATAACGATTTGCTGTGCAAATGATGGGACCAGCAAGGCGTACTATGTTATGAATTGCTAAAACCGAATAAAAATTTTACTGCCGATCTCTATTGAACGATGGATTGTTGTAAAAAAGACCAGCAAGCGCAGTTAGCAGAGGCAAAATCATCCGCTCGGCTACACTGTGCAGGACTTGTCAAGGATGCACTCTTGCAGCCCATTGCGCCATCTGATTGCCATTTGTTCAGATCGACGCAGGATGGCTTGGTTGCTGAAGAAATGCTAAAATGTGTCGATGATTAGATCGGTGCCCACCCAATATCGTTCTTTCGACACGGCATCCATCACCAAGTTGCCAGAAAGACCGGGAAAGTTGATCAATCCTTCTCAATAAATGCTTTTTTCAAATAAAAAAACTGCAAGTACGGACAGAGAAATAAGTTGGAGCGTATTCTCTCCCACTTTCCTCCCGCTATGTCTTGTGTTTATCTTTTATTTATGCAGATTATGAAGATTTGTGTATTTAAGAATCATTTTGCGACTAAAAGAGCTTCCGTTCAGAGATATCACAAGTCTGTAGGCGCACATGTGGGCAGTAAACATATACAAAAACGTGAAAAGAACTGAATATTTTTGTACTAAAAAGTAACCATTTTTTATCCCTGAAATCCCTGACATTCTTGAAGTGATTTGCATTGCTTCCATTTTTCCTCTAACGTAGTTCTTCTATCTTCGAATGTATTATGACAGTTTGGGGCTTCAGGAACATCTTTGATGTGAATTTAATCTATGTATACGCATGTAATTGTTTTTTTATCTTCTTCTCATATGAGATATCTTAACTGTCATCAAAGTTATCTTATTTAACATCAAAAATAGCTCTTCTTTCTTATTATAGGAATTTTCTAACAGTTTTTTTTGATATCGCTTCGGGTAAAGAACATTAAACTACAATTATAAATTGTTTACGGTTTTTCGTTCATTTTGCGTCTTTTAAGGATATAAGAAAAAAAAAAAAAATTATTTAAATGAAAAATTCAAAAAATTTTATATTTGAAGGTAGGTGGCGAAGGAGTTTTTGTAAAAAATAATGGAGTAACATGGCACATCACTAAATACCCTACACACTCCTACAGTGTAATGACTTTTTAAATAAAGTGTTACGTGAGAAGTGGTTGAAAAAGCAGTGCGATTCGATGCGAACTATTTTTAATAGCGTTTCCTCTTGGGTCAAAACATCTTGCTATACCAAATTTTTTGCAGGTTGAAGATAAAAAACAAGATGGACCGACGGACAGATCAGCTTAGAACTAGATTCTAAAACGATCAATATAATAAAAGATGGTCTTATCTCAAGTCTTTCTGGATATTACATACTTGCGCACAAACTTAATATAACTTTATAGAAAAGAATCAAAATTTTTCCTTTTACGCTAATCTTGGTCATAGCAATATGATAAAATCAAAATAATAAGTGCAATGGTGATGCAGGGTGTGCGATAAGTGGAGGCGATAATGGCACAACGGATGGACAAATAGATGCCTACACTGGCTAACTGGCCTGTGATCAACTTAGGATAACTTAGGAAAAAAAAATAACATGCGACACTCACACGGTCAGACATAAAGTACAACAGCTCGTGTTCGTTTGTGTATAATATTAAATTTTTTTTCTTCTTGCCGTGCAAGCATATTAAAGAATGATGTACAATTCACCTTAGCTGCGTTCGAAAATATTCGAAAACAAATTTTGAAATTTTCAATTTTCTCGTTTTTTTCTTTAATTTTGTGCATATTTCTCTCATTTTTTTTTTTGTAAAAATGTAACATGTCACAAAGTGCTTTAAGATATAATTAAACTAATGGAATATCCCCGAGTTTAGTTCGAACTTGTATTATTTTCAGTACGCGTGAAAATGGATTAAGAAAAGTTTTACATGATCTCTTGACTTTTTTTTTTATGCATTGTTTTCTTTATTTAACGGATCACTCAGGAAATGTCCGTTAATCGTGCAATACGATGAGGGTCAGAAAGAGGTGAAGAAAAGTTAAAGAAATAGCGAAATGGCTGTAGCCTTGTGTTTGTGGTATGCCTTTACCGACAAAGCACTTCTACATTACTGAGCTGATATTGGAATCCTCGAAAACGAACCAGATAGATGTGATTCTTACCTAATCGGCTACGCTGCCCTTACGGATCTAAGAGCAGATGTATCAAATCCCGACTTTTATAACTTACGAGTTTTCATGTTTCTTTAATAGAAGATTGTGAACGGACGTAGTGACAGATACCTCTAAACCAAAGTGAAAATAAAGTGCAATTTGCTTAAATCATGTTATTGCAAATCAAATGGTAAAAGTAATACATTCATACCTTCCCAGAGTCGGTATTACAAATCAATAGAGTTTATGTGGGGCATTCTCTGCTCATTTATTCATACATGTAACGTCTTTAGCGTGAATTAAATTGCGAGTAGAGGAAGCATATTGTGATTTTTTTTCTTCTCTTTTTTACTAAAGCTATCAATCACACCTATTCAGTCTGGACAAATCGGTTTAATAATTTTCGCCGACATTTCCTTGAATATAAGATCACGCAATATATATTTAAGATATATATAGTACACCCTCCCATTCTATTGTTGATGAACAGCTTTCCTCCCTTAAAATTAATTTTAATATTTTTTCAAAGATCTATCAATCACTTAACTGTGTATGACGAGTATACTCGCTACGAAAAATGGAAAAGTATTATCTTATGACAAGTGAATAGGTCCATCCGTCTTTCTCGAATTTTCTTATAATATCTTATCACTTGATCGTCTCGCACATCAAATTTGTGTAAAAAAAGTCCCTTTTGACCATAAACTGAAAACGCATATCGTTAGTAAAATAATGAGATTAAGTTAAGATTTTTTAAAGCTTTTTCTCACCGAACATATCTCGCTTGTGTTTGTTTTCAAATTAATTCATTTGAATTGTTTATGGAGTCTTGAATTTATCAGACAAAATCTGGTCAATAACGGCAGTAATTGCATTTTTGTTCGTCTCACTCTTATTCTATGTGAGATAATAATGTAATTTCTCAAGAAATATCTCAGTTTTCAATAGAATTATATTTAATCTCGAATTGAAAAGCAAAGCGAACACTATCGCCAAAGTTGAGTACAAGCATTAAAAAGCAGACACTTTTGCACATTTTGCAAACATTAAGTCAGAAAAATGGTCATTAAACGTTCTTTGGAATTCGCAAAAATCAAAACTAAGAAAATATTAAAAATTTCGAATGAAAGCAACGAGAATAATAATAATCTACAGAAAGTGGAAACTTTTCGTAAAAGTATTTTTTCAAAAAATTAATTTTTTTTTTTTATATATTATTAGGTGTTTGCAAAAATTTTGATCACTTTTTCACTTGAAAAAAGCATTTATTGTGAAAAGTTGGTACAATGTATATTAATCGAAATAGTTTCCATCATTTTCTACAACATTTTGCAATATTTTTGGCGACATGGCGATATCATCTCAGAGTACCTTTATTGGTTTGGTAGCGATCCACGCACCCACCGAGCCGATTTTCGCACTGCTTGAACTTGACGGACCCGCGTACCAGCCAAGCCGGGCCGCACCGACCCGCACAAGTGCTAATCAGGAGGCGCCATGCCCGCTGAGTACGCCGGGTGCAGCGGAACTTCCCATTCGAGATGCAACAGCTTGTATTGGGCAACTCTTGCAACAAGTGTCCAAAAAATGGAATTTTCAGTTAATTCGTGTCGCCCAAAAACAACGTTGCGGATACGATGGAGTAGCATCACCATGAACTTCTGAATATGCTTTGGGGGCTTCATTAGCAGGTTTCTGCAATTAAACAACAAAAGTCATGAATTTGGAAGAAGAAGAATTTTGAACCCTCCAACGTACGCTGATCAAATCAGTAATATTCGATAGAAAACTACTATATTATGCACTGATATTTCCCATTTCTTTATCATTTTTACCTGCAGTAGCCGGTGATCAAAATTTTTGCAAACACCTAATATTACATTTTTAAAAAGATAAGGTTAAAATAATAAAAGAAAAAAACCATTAATTTCTTTATTAGAAGATGAGGCGTTGCCTATGAAAAATGCTCATTATTTTGACGACGATACTGATCAAGTGGATCTGAAGGCAAAATACGAGAAACCTAAACAACCCAACTGGTTATTTAGACGCATCTACATATTAACCTGGATTAGACATTATGACCGGGAAAAGGCCATATCTGATTTAATAGCCGGCATTACTTTGGGTTTAACTATAATACCTCAAAGTATAGCTTATGCTGCTTTGGCTGGACGCAGTTCGGAATACGGTCTTTACACAGCTTTCATAGGTAACCCGATCATATAATTAAATAAAAATATAATTCTTTACTCATCGATAAGAAATTGTATTTCAGGTTCGATCATTTATGTATTTTTTGGTACCATTCCGCAAGTTTCAATCGGTCCCACCAGCTTAATGTCCCTTATGGTTCTGCAGTATTGCTATGAGAAGCCAATTGAAATTGTTATTGTTTTGGCATTTCTAGCCGGTTGCGTAGAGTTAATAATGGGCATTTTCCAACTAGGTAAGGGATATTTTCCAACTTGAAAAAAAAAAAAACAGAAAATGTGTTCGCATCATTAGTTTACGAAATGGATTTTTCTTGCAGGTTTCATTGTCAGTTTTATACCATCGGCGGTAAATAAAGCTTTTACTACCGGCACATCGATAATCGTAGCTTTATGTCAAATTAAGAACCTATTGGGTGTTAAGCTAAAGGGTATACCTACACCGAAAGCTTTCTTCGAAAATATTAAAGTTGCAGACGCCATTGTCGGTATAACATGTTTTTTAATTTTATTGGCTCTAAGGGTAAGCGTAGAGTTCAGAGATTCTCATCTGACTGAGATATTGATAAATTTCAATAAAAATGTTCTTTTTAATTAATTTAATAATCTAGCAATTGTCGAGTGTCAAATTTAAAAAAGACAGTCCGGCCACGAGACGTTTGAAAAAACTTTTATGGTATATTAGCATTTCTCGGAATGCTTTAGTTGTGTTCACTTGCGGAATGATAGCTTACTTTTGGATTCAAAAGAGCTCTTTTGATGCTATACCTATCACTTTGTCTTCGAAAGTTGATTCCGGGATACCGACAATAAAACTTCCGCCGTTCGCTTTTATTCACGGTAACAGAACGTATGTCTTCTCGGATATATGCCGTGAACTGGGCAGCGGTATTCTTGTCGTTCCAATAGTGGCGGTCTTGGCGAATGTTGCAATTGCTAAAGCTTTCGGTGAGTTACATAATTATTATTAAAATATTTTCTTTTCTTTATTTATCTTTTATTGATTGCAATTTTCTCTTTCTCTTTTTATTTGTTTTTTTTTTTTTTTGCATTTAGTCAAAGATGGCATATTAGACGCATCACAGGAAATGCTTACTTTGGGTATTTGCAATGTGGCCGGTTCGTTTTTCAGTGCCATGCCCACTTGTGGAGCTTTTACACGATCAGCCGTTAGTCAAGCCAGTGGAGTTCGAACGCCCATGGCAGGTATTTATACAGGTAAGCTACTACCTAATAGGAATAAGGATAAGAATTTCATTTAAAAAGTGCTGGCTGCACGATATCATATCTGATATTATATGAATATATTTACATTCAGTTCTTTATTTCTTTCGTCGCGTCACATTTCAAGCAGAGCAAAAAATCTTAAAATCCTAACGCGTCTGACGCGTTCAGCGCTTCAGAGATTACTTCGCCGCCGCTCAGAAGCTTAAATATTATACCGACCTGTCTTGTCCTTTTCTTTTTGTTTTTCCCCCCCCCTCTGATCATTTACTCCGAATGACAATGTTATTGCAGACTTTGCAATGATGGAGGCAATTTTCTTAGCATGTATATCTTTGTATATCTATGGGCTCTTCAAGTTCGTCCTTAGTAGCGAAACATATCCTTGTATATAGTGTATTGAAAAAGTTGTGCGCACGACTTTTTGAAAATTTAAACATCGGATTTGTGATCTAGAGTGCGTTGAAACGAAAAGATCTTTTTCGTAAGTTCAAGTAGGAATTCAATCTTTTTGAGGGAAATCCCAAAATCGGAATTTCGACGGTTTAGCTTTCGAAAGAACTTCAGTTCACTTTCATGTATTTCAAAATTCTAACTTTAACCAACGGCGAACAGCGAAGGGATCATAAGCTTTATAGAGAATAGGGAATAAAATAAGCTTAAAAAGAATAACACACTTGTCCACATCCAAACTGTTTTGTTATTTGCGAACTCCAAACCTACTTTATTGTGGCTCAAGATATAAGGATCAATGATTCTCTACATATTATTTCTCCTTCGGCTTTAAGCTTAAGTAGTAAATTTTCAAGGATCACTTCGACAGTCAATAATAGCTTTACGCTCCGCACGTGAAGATTTAAGGTGTTCACGGTAGTATGCCCACGATTCAAAACTGTAAAACTTGTGTATTGCGGCAGATGTTAAGGTTCAAAATCAAAAATTCTCTACATCTTGTTTCTCTTGCGATCGATTACGGGTATCGATATCGATAATATCTTTCCGCTCCGCAATTAATACATTGCTTGGTGGTTAAGCCTTCATACCTGTGCATCAATTATAAGCACTTCGAGACATCTCTCGCCATCTGGTTTATAGCAAAAGTCTATGACTTTAAACATGCAATGATATTTATTTCAGGGATCATTGTCCTGTCAGCGCTTTCGATATTAACTCCATATTTCCAGTATATACCAAAATCTTCGTTATCTGCGGTTCTAATAGCTGCTGTCATTTTTATGGTATGTCTACAATCATTCAGAAAAGAGAAATCGTTTTAATTATATCGAATTCAATGTAGGTCGATTTCAAGCCATTGACCGAGCTATGGAAGACAAATAAAAAGGATTTCATCAGCTGGCTGGGTTGTGTGATAGTCTGTTTGGCGGCCGGTGTTGAAATGGGTTTATTGTATGGTATCATTTTGAATATGATTTTCGTCCTGCTGCGACTGGGTAAACCCAAATTGGAAGTAAACTTAAAGAAGGTAAGTTCTGCCAACTAATGAGACCTGAATAGAAGTAAATGAATTGAAATTTTTCATTTTCAAATTTCAATAGTGTGATAATTTAATTTATGTGCACATTAAACCAATGTCGGACATCTATTATACGGGCGTTGAACTAATACGTACCGAGATAAGATCAGCTTGCTTTTTATATCGTAATGATTTTCCGATCGTTTTGGATTGTTCGCGTTTCATGTTATTTGATTCGACGTTTTTGGAAATGTTAAACGCCGTAGCGAAAGATTTACGGGAAAATAATGTTTTATTAATTTTACAATTTTTCCCTGATAAACATAAAGAATTTTTAAATGAAAACTCAAATATTCGATTTGCGAATGATCGGACACTCAGTGAACTAATTGTAAAAACATAGAGCAGATTTTCATTTTTCAACACTTAGTTACAAAAGTCTGTTAATATATTTTTTTACCCCAAACACCTTGCTATCTATCACTTAGTCGTTATGATTCATTTCTATGCATTTTTGTTATTATTATTGTTGTTGTTGTTTTTTTTTTTTATAGTTAAAATTTGTGTAAGAATCTCTTTTATAGCTTTTTTTTTAGTTTTACGTTTTTTATATACAAATATTTGCGCATGCATAGGGTAGATCGCCTATAGATAAATGAATACTATAATAATTATTTTTATTTATTTATTTATTCGCTTTATTATGAAAATTTAATTTTTGTTTTTATCTCAGATTTCTTTTACTTTAATCATAATGACATTGAAACACGTTGTTGCGCGTGCGTGCGCGTGCGCTATTATTTGGTTGTCATCATTAATTTTTATTGCCACTTTAGAGTATATTAAAAAATTAAAAACAAAAACAAATGTTTATCACGTACAGAAAGAACTCTACCATTAGATATAGTTTTTATCAACATGAATAACGGAAAAATCTGATAACGATGTCTAACTATCCATCGGTATATAACCAAGTAAATAACACATTATTCAATTAGTTCATAGTATGACAGGCACGTGTAGAACGACTGTCGACGAATCCAGGAAGCAAGTTTCGATAGTGCGAAATGAGGATTTCAGCGATGTGCTAAGTCACTATACTGAGGATATGTAATATTTTGATACAAGTTATTATATATGTTAAGCAGAAGTCATCTTAAGTTATCGGGTTCTTAAAGTGCATTCAGTAGCTCTAGGTAAGAAACCCTTCATGTTTATCACTCACTCTCTTGGAATTGGGGCTTTTTTCCTTAACAAATCGTTAGTGTAAATATATTCAAAAAAAAAAAACAGTTTAAATATGTTTCCAAACACATTATCCCTCTCGTCACAAGCATAAAACAAATTTTTGTATAACAACTCCTCGGCTATACGATTGCCATTACTTCAATCCTTAATCGATTAACTGCAAATATAAAGCACGCAGTGTTATATGTCAAGCTGGGGATAGAGAGGGTGTTTTTTAGCTGAATAAGTCAATTAAAGAAAAATCGCAACTATTTTCACCCTATAATCACATGCTTCATATTATAATGTAAAACTGCTCTCTAGCTAGATTTTACGCTTTTATTCGACATCTTTTCAGCTTAAGGTAGCCACCAATGAATTGCATAGAATAGATTCTATTTACAATTCTTAGAAGATTTACATCCAAATTACGTACAATTGGAATTGGTCTCATCCAATAATGTGAATATAGCGTTCCAACTCCCTTGCTTCGACTGACTTGCCTTTGACAAATACTCTGCTTATTTATCTTTGTGCAAGCACTTAACTTCATTGTGACATTTTTGTGTTGTTTTTCCACGGAATCGTCGGCAAATTATTGCTAATATTTCCGGCAGGTGGCTGGTGAATCATCATGGACGAGTATTTGATTTTAATTTTTTTTTTTTTTTTTTTTTTGCTTCAAATTTAGTTTCTTAGACAGTCGACTAATTTTCGGGGAAACTAAAATCATTAGCTGCGGATTTTCATAATAACATATTATATGCAACGTCATGAAATGCTTTCATGATATGTTAAGCTTCCAGTAGTAGTTTATATAGCATACGACTTACATTATATAATATATTTTAAATAAGGACGAAAAGCCCGCAAGCGCTAAAATATTCGGTTTAACTTAAATGGAATTTAATTTTTTTCACACTTTTTCTTATTGTAATTCGCTTTTATTAGTTAATTTACACATCCAGTTTTTTATATACTACCGTTTATGAGTGGCAATTATGTTTACATATAGATAAATACATGTATACAAACATACATATATATCAATATACATGTTTATATATCCATATCTAGATTAGTGTAGTGTAGACTAGTTTTAAGTCATTAGATAATTAACAATGCTGTAAAATGCTTTCCCATGCTTCAACTATTTATAGAATTAAGAAAATATTTAATTTATGTAAATATGTGCGTTAATAAAACTTCTTTTCATTACAATAACAAGAAATTAGTTTCATTTATCTTCTTAGCCAATAGTATCAGAATTCCGATTGAGATACGATATCCATTTTCAATTTTAGGACCTAAGGTATAATGGTTCGAGTTTTTATTTAGAACAGTAGTCTGTAGCACTCGGTGTCTCCAGTTAAGAATGTAGCCGGACGTGACGTGTGCACTCTTCTTTGTCAATTCTAATTGTCCGTAGTGTGTCCAACAAACGTGACCTGGCTTAGTACAGTTACTCATGGAAAGATTTTTTAAAATATGCCACTACCTTGGACGTATTCCAATCCAAGCTCTCTGTAATAGCGTTCGTCCTTATATCAAAATTTCATCAAAATATTTTTTTTAAATGTACGAGCTGTACATTCAGCACAAGAAAACAAGATGGACGAATGAAAAGTTTCAGAAAGTGAGTCTACATCAAGCCCTTTTGAGTCCCTTTTCCGCACCAACTTAATATACTTTTATGTCACAAGTGATGCACGGTACAAAATTTTGGACCACATGAGCTAACTTTCTTAAAGAACGCCTGCGTGGCAATGTTCTTGTAATTGTTAATATCTTTGACAAAAGAGACTAATTTTGCTAAATTTGGCCTACGTCGGCCCACATTTTGCGCGAAATCAAGAAAACAATGCATCACATATTTGGTATTTTATCGCTAAAATAAATGAAAAATTATATTATGGATATACTACGACGACTAAACCACCAATGCTGGACGTGAAGACTCTAAATACATATTTATTATTTTCTCAGATCCTTACAAGTAACTCAAGCAGTATTTTGTGCTCAGATCCTTATGATCTACAAGATTTCCATAAATTTATTTCAGTTACATATTGGACAACAACTCCACCTCTGACCCGTGAAATTATTTTAATGACTCATACGAAAAAACGAAGTTGCGCTGACTGATCGTATTCGACGATAGTACTCCAAGACGATAATCGATCGTGAATTGTGTGTTAGTGATAGGCGTGAAGGTCCTAAATGGGTATTAAAGTATGCCCAAAGACCTCTATATGTTTCATAAGTCAAACGATCAGATACATCTCGGGCAATAACTCCATCCTTGAGCTGTTGAAAATTGTTTTAATAAATCACACGATAGACGAAATCGAACTAAATGATCGTATTCGACGCCCTGAGTTTCCATCGTACTCGAAGACGACAATCAATCGTGAATTGTCTGTTGGTGGCAGGCGTGAATAAGCCTTAAATAAGTAAGAAATTTTCCTCAGAGACCTCTACATGTAAATCAGATGATTAAGCACAAAGGAAGTTGGGCTGAATGATCGTATTCGGCGACTTCTATGGCACTCTAATATGATAGTCAATCAGATATGAAACATGAAGCACATGTAATTTAAACGATCAGCTGCAGGTTGTACACTAAACTCCACCTTTGAGTTGTTGAAAATTATTTTAATGAATCATACGACAAACGAAATTGAGCTGACTGATTGTATTCGACGCCTCGAGTTACTGCAGTACTCTAATGCGAGAATCAATTGCGCATCGTCTACAGAAGGGCTGATAAGTGATTACCTATCACGGATAACTCAATGAAAAGCTACTCATCTCTGATGTTCCCAAACTCTTCCCTCTCAATACGCTTTTCGTTTATAGCATTACAGTGGAGAGAGATTTAAAAGATTTATTCAGAATTAGATTTTTATTATTATTATTATTATTTTTTTTTTTTTAATTTTTGTATTTATTTTTTCAGTTTTATTTCAATAAATAAATTATAAGTTATAGAAAAAGTATAATAATACCGTATAACAATTTCATTTTTATTATTTTCATCATAATTATTATTATATTTATTTTTATTTATATTTATCTTTTATATATTTATTTAAAGTTATTTTTTTGTTTTATTTGTTTTGGTTTTTCTTGTGTGTTCTTTGGTTTTTTTTGTTTTGTTTTGTTTTTTTCTTTTTTTTTTTTAAAGTGTAGCGTATAAGAAAAAATTTTGTTATTGTAGCTCAAATAACTTGATGAGATTTGTAGTAAATGAAAGAAAAATTTTTGAAATGAAAATTTCGTAAGCATTTAATTAATTATGATTTGTGATTAATTTATTTCATATGAAATAATATAATATTTTGTAAAAAATTAATATATAATTAATTTTTTTTTAATAATTTATAAAAAAAATTATTATTAACAAATAAATTTAATTTGTAAATATAAATATATTTTGACAATTTTCTTACGTGGGATAAGTTAAGAGAACAAGAGAAATGGATTAGAAAAATAAGAAGAAGATAAGTTAGATAAACGGTGAGTTCGATAGAATGGGAGATGGAGTTTTGGATATTTATAAAGAAGAGGAATGGGAAAGGAAATGACAGATAAAGGGAAAGAGAGAGAGAGAGAGAGAGAAAGAGAGAGAGAGAGAGAGAGAGAGAGAGAGAGATAGAGAAAGAAAGAGAGAGAGAGGGAGAGAAAGAGAGGGAAATATTCGCTGTAAATACAACATTTTTTTTTTTGTTTTCATTAAGATTTATTATTTGTTATTATTATCAATTGGTTTGAATTTGTTTTTCTTATGTTTTGTATTTTTCTTTGTTTTTTTGTTCTTTCTTTTCATAGCTGTTTTCAAATTTCAAAAAAGGTAGAGAATGAGTTTTCTATTTGTTTCAATTTTATTAAATTTTTTTTTTGTATTTTTTTTTTTTGTAGTTTTCTCAAATACAGTATTTTTTTGCTCTTCTTTCATTATTTTTATTAATTAATTAATATGCCTGTGTATGTAAGTATGTCTTTCTCTGTATATATTATATATATAATTTTGTTAATTTACAATGAGAAAACATTTCATGTAGTTTCATTTTTTGTTTTTTATCTTTATATTTATTTTTATTTTTTATTATTATTATTATTAGTTATTAACCTTTCGTTATATGTCTGTTGGTTTGTATATCCGTTTACTTGTTTTGCTTGCTTGGTATTTGGTTTGTTTACAGGTTTGTTATGGTTTTTCATAATATGCAGATAGAGCAGGGACCGGGTATTATTAATATGAATCTGTTTTTATCGCGTTTTTTAATTTGTATTCTACTCCGAAATTAATAAGCATATGCATACGTATGTGTGTGTGTGTGTGGATGTATGTATGTATGTATGTATGTATGTATGTGTATGTGTTTATGTTTGTTTGTGTGACTTTTTCATAGGATCATGGATATATATATCTCTTTTGTTATTTTTGTTTCTTATTTTTTTTGTTTACTTTTTTTGCTCTTTTTATCCCTCTGTTACTTTAAGCGAAATAAAGGTACAAATATGTTATGGCGTTTCTTGCTTTTTTGTAATTTTGTTTGTTTGCTATTTTATTTTTATTTATTTTTCCTTTTTGCTTATTTTTATTTGATTTTCTTTAAATAGTACTAATTACACATGTATATATATATATATGTGTTTGTATGTGTGTAGGGTGTGCAGGTTATGTGAGTACACTTATTTACTTAATTGTATGCAAGTATACCATATAGGAAACTTTTGATGTGTTCTTAAGTAAAGCTTAAGATTTGAATAATAAGAAAAGCCATAAAATCAACAATTGATATATAACAAAAGGCAAAGTAATGTTGCAAAGAAAAAAAAAAAAATCAAAATGAAAAAATTTAATGAAAAAGAATTTACGAAATGAACTAATTGTATTTAAAATGCATACATGAAAATTATATTCATCTTGAAGAACGCCTGTGGTACTATCGCCCATTAATTCTCGACAATGTATCGTTGTTGCATTTCTTGCATCAACTCCTATGCCGGCCTACAGTCGACGTTATTTTTTTCGAAATTCTCAATTAAGA